CAGCTTAGGTTGAAACCGGTTCAACAACACAGTCCTTCAACAAGAGCTGTAATCCAATAGCTTGGATCAAGCAAGGGAGGTGAGCACAAATTGGATCTGATATTTTCCTGCAAAAATCATATATGAGAACTGATTTCTATCAATTCAAGAACTGGAGGTCAAACTAAGGTTTCTGGGGCAGTAAGAACAGAGAGAAAGAGTTGATAACAGAGTCATCTGGAGTAGATCGAACTCTCTATTCTTAAACCTTAAGGATCACCACTCCTAATCGAATTAGGAGGCTCCCAATCCAAATCTTTATTTGGATTTGGACTCTTTAAGTGGATAAGACTTATCTTCTTATCCCAATGGTTGATCTAGACCCAAATCCAAACCCATATTCGCCTAAGTCACATGACTGCTTAAGCTGTCATGTGACTACTTGATTAATCTTATTAATCATGGGCTTTAGGCCCATTAAGCAAGTGGTTCACGACCCTAATTAGTTGCTGGCCCATTTGGTTCTCTTTGTATGTTGTGGGACCCCAACAATGACCTCACATAAGCTCATATGGGTTTGGCCCAGCTTTTGTGAAAAAGCATGGCCGAATTCACTGTCAAGCATAGTGAACCCCTGAGTCCATCAGTATGGGTTCTTAATGGGTCCAACATTTATACTAAATGATCCTTGAGTCCAGCCATCATTTGAAAGCCTAAGGACAATGGATTTAAGTGAGATATAGTCCATCAGGTAAAACATTCGTAAATTGTCTCTTACACTTAACCTCTCAGCCCTTAATGATCAAACACTGCCCGACAGGGAAGGACCTCTCCCCCGGCTATAAGGTGCAATGTTGCACTCTTTGCTCGAATGGGTCCCAGGAATTAAAACCTTTTGCAAATTTTTTTCTTAAAACATAATATATATATATATTATCATATAAATAAATATTTTGCAAAACAAATCTCAAACAAGTTTGAAATTGACTGTTGGCAGTTTTGGTTTCCATCAGAAAGAGTGCAGTCCCGATCATTCAATTTGTCCGACAAAGGGGTTGATCCTGTCACTATGATCACCCACTCGAGTGTATTTTCAGACTGCCCCAACATACCCATTTTTTGGCCCCCAAAGGATCTCATTGATTGGCATATCAAAGACATCCCAATTAGACACCCAATGCATACCAAAATCGGGTTTAGGGGTTAGGTCTAACTTTCCAGTTTTGCCCACCAGTCTCCGAGGTCCAGGGCATAACTGGAAAATGGTCCGGGTTCAGTGTTCCAAACAAACACACACTACATGTGCTTTGGGTCCAACCTTGGCAGCTGAGACAAGCTGTCCCAACCTTTTTGGCAGCATATTAGTGTCAGCATTGGAAGGATAAACTTCCCCAAGTCTATCCAATGGCTGAAAATATTCTAAAATAACACGAGTCTCATAAGTGTCTAGTTTAAGGGTAATTACACAGAAACACACCAATTATAATACGAATCAATTATGTACTTTTATTTATTTACAATAAATGGATATCCACATCAATTTGATTAGAGTTAAGGGCATACACTGTCTAAGAGCTCCCACTTGCGCTTAAGTCCAATCGGGTACAAGCCGGAGCCCCATACTGCCCACGTGTTTCTCAAACACTTTCTGTGTTAGTGGATTGGTCAATGGGTCTACTACATTCTCCGCTGATGCTACCTTCTGAATCTAGATGTCCCCTCAACCAACAATCTCCCGCAGTACATGGTACTTCCTCTCGATGTGCTTTGACTTCGAGTGGGCTCTTGACTCCTTAGCCTGAGTAACGGCTCTAGTGTTGTCACACAACAGTGGAATGGGTGATGTGCTGGATGGAAAAACTCCTAATTCGTGAATGAACTTCTTCATCAACACTGCTTCCCTGGCAGCTTCACTTGCGACAATGTACTCGACTTCGGTCGTGGAATCTGCTGTGGACCCTTGTTTGCTACTTTTCCAGCTAACTACACAGGACTCCATCATGAAGATGTAACCAGATGTAGACTTTCTATCATCTAGGTCTGACTGGAAGTCGACATCAGTATACCCAATGATCTGTAGTGAACTACCATCGTGTACAAGACAAAACTCTTTTGTCCTCTATAGGTATTTGATTATGCTCTTTACAGCAGTCCAATGCTCCTGTCCTAGATTTGACTGGTATCTACTTACTACACTCACAACTTGAGTAATGTCTGGCTGAGTGCACAACATGGTATATATGATGCTCCATATGACTGAGGCATAGGGAACCCCTCTCATGCCCTCAATCTCCTCAGGAGTCTTGAGAGACATACCTTTGGAGAGAGTGACTCTATGTTTGAAAGGGACAAATCCCTTCTTAGAGTTCTCCATGTTGTACCTATCGACAATTTTGTCAATGTAAGTAGATTGAAATAATCTTATTATCCTCTTCGATCTATCTCTATAGAGTCAAAGTCCCAAGATGTAGGAGGCCTCTCCAAGATCTTTCATGGAGACTTGCTATGAAAGCCATACTTTGGCCGTAGTCAACATTCCTATATCATTCCCAATGAGCAGGATATCGTCTACATACAAAACAAGGAACTTAACCTTATCTCCCACTGATTTCTTGTAAACACAAGGCTCATCCAGATTCTACTCAAAGTCAAACTATTTGACCATAGAGTCAAATTGGACATTCCAACTTCTTGAAACTTGCTTAAGTCCATAAATGGATCTGTTAAGTTTACACACCATGTGTTCTTAACCAGATGCAACAAAGCCTTGCGGTTGTTGCATATAGATATCTTTAGTAAGATCTCCATTCAAGAATACAATTATAACACTCATATGTCAAATCTCATAATCATAGTGTGCTGCTACAACTAGTAGGATCCGTATGGATTTAAGCATGGCCACAGGCGAAAAGGTCTCCTCATAATCGACTCTCTTTTTCTGAGTGTACCCTTTCGCAACAAGACGAGCTTTATAGGTCTCAACCTTTCCATCAGGGCCCTTCTTCCTCTTGTAGATCCATTTTCAACCAATTGCTTTCACCCGAGGGGGTGGGTTTATGAGAGTCTAGACTCCGTTGGTTTTCATTGAGTTCATCTCGACTTTCATGGCATCTACCCACTTCAATGAATCTATGTCCAACATAGCTTCTTTATAAGTGATGGGATCTTCCTCACTGATCATGGCTTCCATCAAGTAACTTTCTTGATCATAGATGTAACGAACTAGAGGCCTAGACACCCGGGTAAATCTTCTAAGTTGGGTATTATCTAGAATCTGTGGGACATCTCCCACTACTCCTGAGCTCTTCTTATCAAGAACAATTTCTTGATGATGATCGTTCAAGATGTAATCTTCTTCCAAGAAGTAGGCATTTCGACTATAAAACACTTTTTGCTCTCTTGGGTCATAGAAGAGGTATCCTACAGAGCCCTTGGGGTAGCCTACAAATAGGCAACGATTGGTCTTGGATTCCAATTTGTCAAGACTTGTTCTTTTAACATGTGCCGGACAACCTCAAATCTTCAAGTGTCTCACACTTGATCAACGCGTATATGGTAGCCTTTAATACGTGTCCCCAAAAGGATATAGGTAGTTCTGAATGTACGAGGAGTGATCAGATTATATCTAATAAAGTCTGGTTTCTCTTCTCCGACACACCGTTTAATTGTGGTGTAACAGGAGGAGACAACAGCTATATAATCCCATTATCCTTAAGGTAGTCCTTGAGTTCGTTTGAGAGATATTCACCTCCTCGATCTGATCGAAGAGCTCTGATCTATCTCCCCAACTGTTTTTCGACTTCCTGTCTGAACTCCTTGAACTTTTCAAAGGATTCAGACTTATCTCTCATTAGGTACATGTAACCATATCGAGAGTAATCATCGGTAAAAGTTATGAAACAACTGTGTTAATTTTGTGTCCTAACATTCATGGGACCACATACATCAGTATGTATCAAGTCAAGTGTGCTTGTTGATGTTTCAAGCTTACCCGTAAATGGCCATTTTGTCATCTTACCCTGAAGGCAAGGTTCACAAGTTGAAAGATCTTCTACAGTTAGAAAATCCAAAGGACCATCATTTACCAATCTTGTGATACGATCTATGTTGATATGGCCAAGTCAATAATGTCACAGGAACGTGGGATTAACCGCATCACGTGTTCTTTTCTTGGGGTTAGGTTCCGACGTAGTTTCAGTTATATTCATTTGCAAAGAAGGACGGAGGACATAGAGACCATTCTCAAGTTTTCTGTGAGTAAGGAATTTGTTATTCAATTTGATAGTAATCGTATCACTAAATAGAACAAAATAACAATCCTTACATAGCTTTGAAACTAAAATCAAATTTCTTCTTAGTAACAGTACATAAAGACAATCTTTAAGCATTACAACTCTTTCTCTGAAAATTAAATCTACAGTTCCTATAGTTGTAGCTACAACTATTGCAGAAGTCCCCAAGTAAAGAACCACCTTGTCGTCATTCAACCTTTTGCTTTCTCTGAACCCCTGCAATGTATTAAATGCATGAGTAGAAGCCTCAGAGTCAATACACCAGGATGCAGAAGTGACCAACATATTGGTCTCTATGACAAGTGATTCGAAACTACCTTCTTTGTTCCTGGATTCCAGATATTGAGGACAGTTCCTCTTCCAGTGTCCAATCTACTTGCAGAAGTGACATTCATTTGATGCTTTGTCTTTCTTCTACTTTTTTGGCTTGCCCCCTTTCTTCTGAGGCCTCTTCTTGCCCTTCCTCTTTCTCTTTCTGGATTTTCCACATTCCACAAGCATGGCTATAGGCTTGTCCTTCTTTATTAGTTCTTTGGCCCTCTGCAACATATTGCTGAGTTCCTGAAGGCTAACTTTTAGTTTGTTCATGTTGTAGTTCATGACAAACTAATTGAAGGAGGGAGGCAAAGAGTCTAGAATGGCATCGGTTTTGGTGTCATCATCGAGCTGGGATCTAAGAGCCTCCAATTCATTAACATACCCCATCATCTACATGGTGTGGTCATGGACCTATTGGCTCTCGGTCATCTGTGTGGTCATCAACAGCTTGAGGACCTTTTGACGGGCAGAACGATTCTGCTCCTCATACATAGTCTTTAGACTATCTAGAATGTTTTTACAGACTTCGATCTTATCGAATTGTCTCTGGATAGCATTATCTAAAGATGCTACGATATAACATCGAGCAAGAGAATTTTTCTCCTCCCATTCTTGATATTCCCTCCTACGTGCTTCAGAAGCCTTGTCTCCCGGACATTCTGGAGTAGGGTTCTTGGCAACCTTGTCCAATTTCTTGGACGTCAGAACCAGATTAAGGTTACGGTACCAGTCAGCATAGTTGGGTCCCTTAAGTTTATTATCATCAAACAGTTTGGCGAATTGTCCGTGTGCCATTTCTGATAAAAGGCAATAGATATTAGTCCATGACCTAAAATTGATTCATGTTATTTTACATAGAAAGGTCTTTTATTTATGTTCCATCTCCGTTTATTCATATATGAGATTTCCCTCCTATCTCAATGACGGGGGCACAAAACATGTCCCTGGAAATGTGGGAAAACACATAGGTGCAGAGCCAAATTTCATATCTGTAGAAAGGAAGACAAAAATTAAATTTGATAAAAAAAATTGCAAAAATAAACTACAACTAGAAATTAAGGAATAGAAAATAAAAGCATGTGTAAAAAATAAATCTAAAACTATGGGAAACTGGTTGTCATCTGGATCCAGAGGTGGCAGTAGTGGCTAGGCGAACTGCAAGAAGGAACCCCTCCTCTTTCCTGTGTGTTTTCTTCTTCCTCCACCCTTGAACTTCTCAAGAACATCCTTCCATCTTACCTGGGGGCAGAATCCAACCTAAAAGAAAATAAAGAAAACAAAAGGGATGGTTGATCAAACCCAATGGCAATAGTTGCAGATTGGCTGGACTACTTGCAGGAACCCCTCCTGACAAGATCTAAGCATCCTTCCCTTCTACAACCCTTGAACTCCTTAAGAAACCTTAGCTTTGGGAACTGGGTGAATTGACCAACCCCTTCTCAAGGGCCCCTGGGTCATTTTTATAGAGAAGGGTGGACCTAAGTGGTATTAGAGAGGAAGAGATGGGTAGCTCTTGGGTTTATGCAAAAATATGGGTGCCCTAGGATTTGAGAATGGAAGGTTAGGATTGTTCCAAGGAGATCCTAAGGATGAAAAGAGGAGGAAAGGGCACCCAATATTATGTAGGGCTGAGATTTGGGCGCCCATAATGGAGGGTGCAGATTTGGGTACCTATAGCTAGAGAAAGATGATTGGTCTGTGTGATGTGGCGCCCTAAGGTGATTGGTTGAGGTTTAAGGAGTGATGTGTAAGGCTAGGATGTTGTATAGGGAGAGATCTAAGGGACCCTCAGAGGTCACAATATTGAATTTAATTAGGAAAATGGCACATTTTGACTATTCTAAGGCCTAAAATACCTATGAAATGATGCCCTTAAGGCATCAAAATATGGAGTTATCATCTTCCATTTTAGCATAGGCCTCTCCCACATCGGTCTATGATGCCCCTATCATCTCATGAAGCAATCCAACCGACTGGACCAACAAAATGGATAGCCCAATTTTATGGTGTATCTCCACCCACCGATTCAGCTCGCCTTCATGCTAATGACGAAAGGCCTTTAGAGAATTCATCATATGATATGCCCTATCTCTTGAACTTATATTAATTCGGAGGGAACAAGCAAACAGTCCCTAGGTCTAGTTTAGGTCATACCAAAGTGTCTCCCATTGACTTTCATAAAGTTAGATTCAAATGGGCCCAAAATGGACTAGGGTTCAGCGGGGTTCCTCTTGGGGAGGAAACTAATTAGGGGCCCATCAAAAAGGGGAAATCATCCAATGATCTATGGGCACCATGGAAATGATGTGCATTCAGCCATGGTGTTTGTAGAGAGGCACATATGATTAAACATGGGCCAATCATTTATGGCCCATTTACGAACCACATTCAACACATCACAAGCATTCACAACCACAAATTGATCCAATCAATTAGAAGCTTGTAAAATCCTAATTAATTTAAGTTAACACACAATCAACCCATTAAGGCCCATGAATTATCCAATAATATCATCTAGGTATATGGGCTAAACTGCAAAACGTAGTTCGCCCCATATATCAGTTATGCTGAAAATGGGCTGATGTTGCTTTAACTTAACAAAAATTAGGTTTTCAAGGGAGGGCTGAATTGTTCCATGTGATGGGCCATCAAACCCTTGTCCCATAACCAAATTTGAGCCACATAAGACGTGACCCATGGGGTTGAGATTAGACCCCATTGAACCATGGGTTCGGTCCAAAAAGTTTGGACCAAACTAGGTCAACTCGGCCTAGGGTTTGGTGTCCAAAACATGCTACAATTCATGGAAATTCGATCTGAAATTATTAACAGTTGAATATTGACATTCAATCACAGCAAAATAAACAATCTAGGACAGCAAGTGTGATGGTTTGAATCTGATCCGGATGAACTATAAACTTGCAAAAACTGGTTATTCGCTGATTGCAGATTTTCTGCAATAATCTTCCTTCTTCTTCTTCGTGCGCTCTAGCATGTCTTCCAATGTATAAAAAAAATAGAAAACCCTAATTTTATATTAATTACATCAGAATAAATCCTAATACATTTTGTCTAAAAAAAAAATTATTTACAGACCAATGATCAAATAAATAAATAACTGGGTGCGCAAATCTTGGTGCCAATAAAAAATTCGATCTCCATGACACAAATAGTCCAAAATTCAAGAAATAATAATAGAAAAATTCTATAATTATAATACAATAAAATAAAATTAATTTTAGATCAAATCACCCAAAAACTGAGAACTGATTTCTCAGTGAATTGCTAACTACGCAAATCGGGTAGAACAATTCCGCCAATTTGGGTCTATTTTAGATCTGATTTAATTTTGGTTCAAGATTGAACCTTTGGCTCTGATACCACTGAAGTAAGGAGAAATCCATCATATGGATGGCCAAACAATTCTAGATGGTTGGGCAAATTTTCAAAAATTTTCTTTTACCTTTTCGAGAATTGTATTCCCAGTTTTATAAAAACTGCATTTTTCAAGGATCGTTCTTGCACCGAACCGGACCAGGTCTGAAACCAAATGTAAGGAAGAAGTATACCTGATACAGAATCCACAAGTGTAGCTCCCAAAGTGGTGGTTCACACCCAAAGAGGGTACCAAAATCAGCTTCCATTGAAAATGGCGCAGCTTAGGTTGAAGCCGGTTCAGCAACACAGTCCTTCAGCAAGAACTGTAATCCAACAGCTTAGATTGAGCAAAGGAGGTGAGCACGAATTGGATCAGATATTTTCTTGCAAAAATCAGATATGAGAACTGATCTCTATCAGTTCAAGAACTGGAGGTCAAACTAGGGTTTCTTGGGCGGCAAGAACAGAGAGGAAGAGCTGATAGCAATGTTATCAGGAGCAGATCGAACTCTCTGTTCTTAAACCTTAAGGATCACCACTCCTAATCGAATTAGGAGGCTCCTAATCCAAATCTTTATTTGGATTTGGAATCTTTAAGTGGATAAGACTTATCCAAACCCAAATCCAAACCCATATTTGCCCAAGTCACATGATTGCTTAAGTTGTCATGTGACTACTTGACTAATCTTATTAATCATGGGCTTTAGGCCCATTAAGCAAGTGGCTCATAACCCTAATTAGTTGCTGGCCCATTTGGTTCTCTTTGTAGTGCGTGGGACCCCAACAATGACCTCACATAAGCGCATATGGGTTCAGCCCAGCTTCTATAAAAAAGCCTGGCCAAATTCACTATCAAGCACAGTGAACCCTTGAGCCCATCAGTATGGGCTCTTAATGGGCCTAACATTTACACTAAATGATCATTGAGTCCAGCCATCCTATGAAGGCCAAAGGACAATGGAATTAAGTGAAATATAGCCCATTAGGTAAAACAGCCCTAAATTGTCTCTTACACAGCGTAGGGTGGAGTAGAATCAGAAAGTGGTTCTTTAGCAAGAACCGAACTCTTCAGCAAGAATTCGATGGAGGGTGTGAGAGCACGACTTCAGATTAGTTTTTCACCAAAAACTGATATCAAGAATACTTCTTGATCACTCCTACTGGTGGAGAACAAACTGGCAATGGCGGCAGCAATAGAGGGAGGCAAGAGCAGAAGATGGCGTCAGTCTTACTGGAGCTGTCTTCTTTCTCTTGAATCTGTAATCAGCTTGGGTGAATAACCTTAAAGAGAGCTCCTCCTAATCCTATTAGGAGTTTCCTAATCCAAATCTTATTTGGATCTGGACTTTCTTTAAGAGATAAGAATAGACCCTTATCTTATCTGCAGATAAAGATCAGCCCTCCTAATCTTATTAGGAGTTTCCCAATCCAAATCTTTATTTGGATCTGGACTCTCTAAGTGGATAGGGATAACTCCTGATCCTATCTGCTGATCTAAATCCCATAACCGCCCCTCTTTAATTAATCAAATTAAATCAGTTCGATTTGGGCTTTAGGCCCATTAAGTCCATGTGCTCACTTATCCTCCAAACTGTTGCCCAGTTGGGTATACTTGTAAGGCATGGGACCTAAACATTGATCTACACATCAACCACATGGGTTCAGTCCAGCCTCTGTTACAAGACCTGGCCAAATTCACTGTAGAAAACAGAGAACCCCTGATCCCATCACCATGGACTCTTAGTGGGCCCAACACTTACACTAAGTGGTCCCTGGGTCAAGCCACTTTATAAAAACCCAAGGACTGTGGGCAGATGCAAGATTAGCCCATCAGGTATTACCCTCAATGGTCTTACACTTAACCTCTCAGCCCATAATGATCAAACACTGCCC